ATGAGAGTTTTTGGAAACTTACACGATGGCTTTCTTTACCAATTAGTCAAGGGACCAACTAGAAACAATGCTATTTTAGAAATATTGTTAAACTTCAAATATAGAAATGATTGAGAGGGTGGAAATTGGCGAACATCTGGGTGCAAGTGATCATTGCTCTATTAGGTTCAATGTTTTGCTGCACATGGTGATAAGGAATAATGATATTTTGGTTACAAATTTTGAAGGGACGCGACAAGAGTTATCTGTTGTGAATTGGGCAGCTGAGTAGCTTGGAGACACTGATCACTAAATATTCAAAGTAAACATATTCCTTATAGAAAGAAAAGGGTAGCTACAAGTAAAAAAACAGGTCGACTCACAAAGAGTTTAAGAAATAAAATTAAAGAAAAACATCATAAATTTAAGAAATTTAAAGTGACTGGTATGACAGGAGACGTAGAAGATCAAGAAAGTTGGTGAAACAGAAAATTAGGGCATCAAAAAGGATGCATGAGAAAAGGTTGGCTGAAAATGTAAAAATTAACAGTAAGGATTTCTATAAACACATTAATAGTACACAAAATGTTAGGATGGGGGTAGGACCCTTGAGGGATGATAAAGGAAGGCTAGTATCTGATGAGATTGCCGGGTTATTAAATTTTGCTTTTTCTTCGGTTTTTACTTACGAAGAATTAAGCAGTATTCCACGTCTTGAACATTTGATAGATGGAAACAAGATTAAACAAGATGACTGTATTAATTTTGAGCTAGTTAAGAAAAAATCAGGTAGTTTAAAGAACGATAAGGCTCCAGGGCCAAATAATATTTCCCCAATGGTTTTGAAGGAGGTTAAAGATTGGATATGTGGACCACTTGCTACTACTTTTTGTTAGTGCTTGAATAGTACGCAGATGTCAGTATTCAAGTCTAAAAAACCCTACTGACCAGATCAATCCTGTAAAAGTCACGAAGCTTGACATAAAAGTGAACATTAGGGTCAATATACAGATGTCAACAAATATCACATTTACCTAAACTATACTAAAAATGTCAACATATTTACCTGAGCTATACTAAAGAGGTCATGAGCTTTGACAGTAGGGTCAGTATACAGCAATCTCGAAACCATCAAATGATACCAGGTTTCACAAAGCTCACTGTGAGAGAAACAAAGAAGAAACAATATTAATCATAATTAAAGTACAATATTAACTCTAATGGTATGACCAGAACAAACAGCATTAATCATAACTAAAGTACAATATTAACTCTATTGGTATGGCCAGAACAAACAGCATTAATCACAACTAAAGTACAATATTAACTATTTGTAGGGCTGGAACAAACAGCATTAATCACAACTAAAGTACAATATTAACTCTATTTGTAGGGCTGGAACAAACAGCATTAATCACAACTAAAGTACAATATTAACTATTTGTAGGGCTGGAACAAACAGCATTAATCATAACTAAAGTACAATATTAATTCTATTACTATGGCCAGAACAAACAGCATTTCACTACTTTTTTCAGTTACATTCAAAATTTAATTAAACAACTTTATTATTAATGTATGTCCAAAACATTATCATCAAAAAATATCTATAAGAAAAATGTTTACATTATCTAAGGTCTAGTTTTGAACTTGAGAAAAAACCAAAACCACACGACACATCTGAACCAATCTTTTAATTCAGAATTCCTTACTTTAAAAATAGATTGATGCAGTATCCAACCAATTAAAACCTCAAACTATATATAATTATAAGGAAGGATCTAAAGCTTAACCTCTAACCTTTATTTGCTAAGATATTAATAAGTTTGTCAAACCCAATAAAAGAATCCACTTCTCTTGTGAGATGGCAAATTTGTGTTTGTTATGGTTTTGTTTATTGTTCATTTATTATTCCTTCTATTGTTTAGTTTATCAATGAATTTTTAGTTACATTAAAACATTAACTCCCTAACTGATCACATATATTTTAAGTAAATACGTTTGTAGAATTATATAAAACCTATACCAGTTTCCTTAGTGATTACATACAGATATTACTAATGTAGGAAAAGATTATGTAAATTTATGATCACATGAGATGTACTCTCATGACTTAATGGAATGAATAAATACCTTGCCATAAGCTTCATAAACTGAGTCACGAGACAGTTAGTGAATTATTGCTGCTTCTAACTCAATATTGTTATTGATATAGAAAAATGATTTTGGAATATTGTGTTGTAGTTTTATGGAATTTGTTTTTTTTTTCTTATTCTGGTTCTTTCTCCTAATTCCATTATTTGAAATAGTTAATATTGATATTTATGTTTTATTGTTCATTAACATTAGTATCAAGTCCTGGCCAAGCACAAGTTTATTAACTGTGTTTTTGCTAAGTGCTAAATTTTAATCCAAGTGTTTTTTGTTTGTTGAACTCTGGTTGTTGCAGCATGTTATTTTAGACCATTACACCATCTGTATAATTTTCCAAATTGTTTTGCAAATCAACTTTTTATGAATAATGAACATGTTTACAAACAATAGAAAGAGCACATTTCCCTCATGATTCATACTGAATTGCTCAGATCAATTTCAAGCACTTTTCAAAGACTTACTAACCACTCTCAGAATGTTTTTCAAGCTAAAATCTACATTAAAATCAATTGGATTCCACTGAAATTTTATAAAATTCCTATTTATTTGTTCAACATATGAACGTAGACTAAAAAGAAAAGAAAGACTTCATTTATTGTGCTTAACTCCGCAACAAGAATTAGTTAGATATATCGATATATTCTGCTACTGTAATATTTTCAAGTACTTTTGAAAAAAAGACCTCTTTTCAAGCACTTTCAAGTCCTAGAAATTCCATTCTCAATTTTAAGGACTTTCAAGGATGCATATGCACCCTGAAAACTGTCCCTTTTTTTTGTGTTCTAAAACACTTACTGCTTTTTACAGTCTTGTGGTCCATTGTAGAGACAATAAAACCATAAAATTAAAAAAAAAAAAGCTAAAAGGTTAACAGTTGAAATTGTGAAGATAAGTAATCTGAAAATCTTGTGACAAATGATGCAATCAAAGAAGATAGAAAATATATTATTTATTTTACATTTTTCAACTTTTAATTTCACTGTACATTGATAATTTCACAATGGTTAGGGTAGAGAAAATAAGAGTTAAAATATAAAATTATACCAAAAAAAAACTTCTCAGTCACTCAGACTGACTTAGTAAAGGTTTCATAAATTCATGGCCAATTATAAAGTCTGATTTTTTGTGTACTTGTGATACTTGTAATGTTTACTAAAAGCTTGCAGAATTTCATGGAGATACACTTAACCCTTTGAACGAGATGAACCTTTAAATCCCTTCCTGCACATCATGAGATTTTACTGAGTTAATTCAAAATTGAATTAAACCACTTTTCTATAAATGTATTTTAATGAAATTACTATTATCAAGTATGTCATAATTTAAGGTTTTATATTATCTAAGTTTTATTCCTTTATTTTAAAAGAAAAATCTGAAACAGCAGTTTTTGTTGTAACGTGATCCACTGTGGTTAAAATTCTCAAGTTAAAGGGGTCTTAGTCAAGAAACTACAAGTTGCTAATATAGACTGCTGGCACGGATGGTTAAAGTACAGTTCCAGCTGTCTCTCATTAACTGGGGGAAACTTCCAAGGATTTCTCCCCATGTGAAACAACATTCTAATATTTCTAGGTTTAAGGTCAGCCATGCCCACTTACAAAGCTGTGTTGTCAAGCGACACTTTAAAGTTGAGTGATGATATCTGGAGTTAATGATATAATAGAGGAAATGGAAAACAAGATATAAACATTTACCTTAAAAACTTTTGATATTTATTAAGGGAGTTCTAGAGATTATGCAAATGAAACGTGAAACTGTGAGATAAGAAATAGTATTTTTATACTCAAAATAAAAATCACATTTCATGTGAACTATTCAGATTAAATAATGAATGTTTTATTATAAACATTAGAAAAAATCCAAATTAAATATTTTATTTTTCTAAAAGTACATAATCTTAGGACTGTTCAAGTCAAATTTAAAACTATTTCATCAACTGGTTTCAATTTTATAAAGCACTTTCACGAAAGTCGCATACCTACTTACAATATAAGTAGATCGCAGTCAAAGAGTTACTACATTCAGTTACAGTATGTATAGTTTCATGGTTACAAGCTAGTTCCAAGTTGGTCAAATCAACAAATTTCACAGTGAAAGTGTCAATTTAATTTTATTCTTTTGATAAATTAAAGCTAAATAATTTCATTCTGTGAATTTCCTGCATTTCCAAAAATGTTTATGTTAATTTATACCAATAATTCAGGGTACAATTATCTACTAATTTTAGAAATACACTTTTTCCTTTCGTAGTCCTTACCTCAGCTCTTGGAACATCTCCCAATCACCACAAAGGATCTAGAAGATTCAGAGAAAATAAAAAAAATTATAAAATGCAATAAATTCTGCATTCTTCTTGTAAGTTCTTCACCACAAAGCATTAAACTTTGTTGTTTAAAACCAAAAACAATTGTAAAATAACTTAAACACTCCCAATTTACAGCAAAGCAAACATTATGAACATACAAACTATTTCAAGTCACATTATAAAGTTTAGGAAAATGTTTAAAGAAGCAGCATTAAACCATAAACTTTCAAACAGGTGATGCATGAAATGCTACAAAATGTGTTGAAAACAAACAGTTTGTTACAAACTGACCAATAGTTGTAGGTATTCTTTTGTAATATTAATCAATTTTTATTTCATTTCAGAGTGTAATTCAAAACTTTTCCATACAAAAAATTCAGCACTGTGGTGTCTATGTTTCCTCAGTCATTAAGTTATGCATGAACGTCAAAAGACAAACTAACCTTACAAGTAGCCTCAAGTCCGTCAACTGCAGCAAACTCTCCATCTTGAAGACGGCGCACACATTCATCCTGCCAGTGATGCCATCTAAGCTTGAACTCGGTAAGAGAACAGGTGGTAACAGACTAGCAAAGAAACAAAGAAGCACATCTAAAAACATTTCATAGAAACTCTAATATTA